TTGCAAATATCATTTTATCTTCCATAGTCAGATGCCCACCCTACACTAGAGGCAAGATAGTACGTAATACAACAACGGCAATCTTCCTAAGACCTCAAATGTTTGTCATGTGCTTGCAAACATGATTCTTCAATAAGGATATACAAACTCCAACCTCAATACTTGCTCCATTGCTAGAAATTCAAGCATGTTTTTTTCCACATCAACAATACAAAATAATTAAGGTATTCATACCATAGAAAAATATTATAGAGATCCTACTTCATCTAACCTACTAAGTGATGAAATCATTTTAAAAGCTTTTGAATTGTTATTATTAAGTGATATGGATGACAATAAATGGATTTTGAATTTTGATGCTTTGAAGCACTTTACTAATGATTACTATTTTTTTGACTAGCTAAATTACTTCCAAAGCAATACAATAACTTTAATTGGAGGCAAAGTCCATGTAATTATAATATAAGAATCAATAAACTTATCTATGTCTACTAAAAAAATAAAAAGCATCATAGAGATTTGATATGTCTTTGGTCTAAGAAAAAACATTTTATCTATTGAACAAATCACAAATATTAAAAACTTTTGGATTTTTAGACGTAAACAATGTATTGTTATTTTTGCTAATAAGCCATATAAAATTATAAAAAAAGATAGATGAGATCTTAAAAATAGATTTTTTAAATTAGAATAATTAATTATATATAAATTTGATACTAATATTAAAATTGAAACAATAGAGGTATTTGGACACAACTTCTCAAATTAAAAATATCACACTAATAATCCTGTTGATTCCTTCATTGATCTTTGGTATTTATATTTATGATACTTAAACTATAAGAGCCTTAAAAATTTTCAAATCAATAATCTAATCTCAAGAATCTTCTCTTTCTTGATAAAAATTTAAAGATACAATCATTATTATTAAGATATATAAATTAAAAACCAAATTCCTAAGGTAGCAATGTTTAAGACCACAAAACCTTTATAGATTATTCATATCAATGTATGTGGATGTATTTTAGTTAAATCTTTAATTCATTTATATTATTTTATTATATTTATTGACAACTTTGTTAAAAACTTCTGAATCTATTTTATGATTATAAAGAATTAATCCCTTAAAATGTTCAAGAAATTTTACATATTAATTGAGAAGTAAACCTATAATTACATCTTATTGCTCTATTTTGATCAAAGAAGCAAGTTCATGTCATAAGTGTTCACCAAGTATCTGCAAGACTAAAATATCACTTGTAAGTTGTCTATTATACATTCCAACATAATGGGGTATCAAAAAAGAAAAATATAACTATCTTGAACAATGTATGAGCAATGTTAATAAGTAAGATTATACCTTTATTTCTTTGGATTGAAGCTACTTACATTGATGTCCAACTCATTAATTATAATCCTATTTGAATAAACCAAGGTAAGCCTCTTGACTATCTCTTCTATAAAATAAAGCCAAATATTAGTTGAATAAAAATATTTGGATATTTCTATTTTATAAGAAAAGATAATATATAAAGATGTTGTCACGGACATATGCATGTAAGCTAGTAATTACATTTATAAATAGGTAGAAGTAAGTAAAAATAGGTAAAAATAAGTTAATTCTATAATATTTGCTATGAAAGCTTCTTAGAAGCTTTATAGACGCTGCTTTGACTTTATAGGTTTCTTTAATTGACTTTTTGGATTAGAAATGTAGACAACAAGTTGGCCATGTGCCACACATGTTGTTAGCTTGAAGACCAAGCTAACTATGTGGCCCACATATAGAAAAACTTGCCTTGTAAGTCAAGGCATGTGTCTTACAAAGTCAACACATATTGGAGGTCCTATAGAACATCACCATGTAGCCTTTAGTTAGATAGTATATATAGAGACAAGAGTGAAGCCCTCTTCACTCTTGTCAACTTCTTTCTTGCTTCTATTCTAGTTTCAAGGGTCTCTAGTTTTCTTGTCTTTTGGCAATAGCCATCCAATTTCTTTCTTAATATACATATTGAGTTATTTCTATTTTTTCATCTTTCTATGAAAATAGTCTCACTTGTTTATTTTTTTCTTATCAAGTTCTTGTCCTTGACGGATACCAACTTGAATCTAGATCAAAATTTGACATCTATCTAAGAATTGATGATGAATCTAAAGATTATAAAGTATACTTTTCTACTTTTTGTAAAATCCAAGTCTTTTGTATTATCTTATTTGATGAAACTTGATTTTTTAAATTACATCTTATAATGACAATATTTAGTATAAAATCCTTTCAAATACTTTATTTTAAAGGGACTATATTCAATAACATCAAAGATGACGAAAATGTTAGAATTGAGATCATATTTATTCTATGCAATTACTATGTTACCTCAAAAAAGCCATAAAGATAAAAAATCCTCTATATTCATCTCATACTTCATCTCACTAGACTAATTCACATCAAATTTAAGCCTCCTATTTATCTCTAAAGATGCTCTTATATCAATTCCATAATTAAATTTTATGCCATATTACAAAAAATTAGAGGACATCGACATCTAGCCTACTTATAGCAATAACAATGCATATTCAATTGAATCAAATACCACTATTGAATACTTTGATGATGAAGTAGAAAGCCAAAGCAGATTTAAGCACTCATCTAACAACCTCATCATCACTCTTTTGGTGATTTATTCTGGTAAGTATATAGCCAAACTACTAAAATGGATATAAGTCTAGTTTTGCGACTTCATCAATCTTTTTAATATTGAGCCCCTTATCTTACATTGTAACTATCAAAGATGAAGG